GTAGATATTATTTAATTATTTCTACATCTTTGAGAATATTCTAAAAACAATTTACGGTGTTAAATTTCGTTATTAGGGTACCCTTCCCGTAAACGGACAAATTTTTTGGTCCCATGAATGTCCGCTTAACGGAGGTTTCACTGTATATATATATATATATATATATATATATATATACTGCCCCGTAATCACCACTCTTAATACATATTTTGGCGTTTTCTTAAATGCTAATAAAATCTATTACATCAAGGTGAATACAAGGTGTTTTAGTACAACACCTGATTACGCCTCTTTTTAGTGATTGTTTTCAATTGTTAAAATAGGTTTTACATTATGTTTAAAATATGATAAGCCCTCTTTATCCTTTCTTCCTGGTAAATGGCCCTGTCAGGTAACTTATCAGTCGTGCATGACCAAGATTCCTGATAAGTTTGAGTGCAGTGTCTCAACCAAAAACGATTGGCAAGCGAAGCCTGTACCATTGCAGATGAACATTAATTGCGGTTTTTGTTCTTAAATATAATCAACTAACATAAATACGATGCATTTAAAAAATATGCATATGTTCCTGAATTGTTTAAACCCTGCATATTTCTCAATGTAAGGGAGTTGTAACAGTCGTTGTATTTTATAGGGGGGAAAAGTATATCTAAAAGTTTTATCTGACTGCTCAAATAAAAAAAAATTATTATAACATATTTAAAATTATAATTCCAGAAATATAATTCATTTACCATTTAAAAATGATTGTTTTATTTTTTTAAATTAATTAGTTGTTGTGAAAAGTTTGTTTTATTTTTTTAAATTAATTAGTTGTTGTGAAAAGTTAAAGTTTGTAAAGTTAAAGGTATATTTTATCCTTAAATAATAATTTAAGCAATTTTATTCGTGCTTAAGTGTAAATTTTGATTCTTCCTTATCATGAAGAAACCATGCATTTTTACTCTAATAATATACTCGTTCTAAGAAACTACCTTTTTATTTAATACTTTCAAAAATGAATTAAAAACGAATTACAAATATTAAGTGTACATGTTTATAAATTACCTTAATATTTTATCACATAAGTAATTGACATCCTAAGTTCATAAAATCAGACATATTGAATCGTTTTAAGGAATGTCATATTTAATAATAATTCTACAAATAACGAAAGCTTTTTTTTATTAGTTATTTTAAATCTCAGTATCTCCATATTTCCTAATTTATGATTTCCAGAAATTATTTCCTGTAATACGAAAATAAATATAAATATGCAAAATGCTGTGTAGTAATATTGCTTTTTTCATTATCAGAATGGCAAAATTTATTATGTTAACATAGATAAGATAGGTAAACATAAATTATAAATAATAATAAAACTGCGTAGATTTTGATTTATTTACAAAAAAAGGAACAAAAAAAACACATTCGAATTCAATGTACTTATGAAAAGTAATTAAATTAAATAAAACCTATTTTACAAGTGTTACCTGTACTATCAACGTTGAAATCGAAGATAGAATCATTAAGATCTGTGATATGTGGTAGATCAAGATTATAATCGGTTTCATCCTGTAAATATTTTTCAAATTTTAGACGATCTGGTATTTCTAAAAATGCTCCAATACTCCACATAAGACAGAAAACATATGTTTTTTGTAGTATTCCAGCTAGCACGTTCAAATCTTTTTGGTCCTTTTCCTCCAATGGGAGCAAACCATCCATCAATTTTATGAACTAAACATAGGAATATATTGAGTCAAAACATAGATTTCAATTTTACCAATAAAATGCTCATAGTTCACATTAAATCATATTGTGCTTGTAAGTTACAAACCTTAGTAAGGTGTCATATTACTGTGCCAGTTTAACATTTTTCAATTGTTCAATGCATAATATTATGACTTCAGCTTCACTGTAGCAGATTTTTAAAATAATACTTTCATAAGGTTTTAACGAATTTGCATGATAAAATTATCCAAAGGAGCGTGATTTTAAAAATTCTGAAACGTATAAATATATGTGACATAATAATAATAAACATGTTTCAAACGCTCACAGCTTCATTGCTAAATTCTTGAATGTAATAGGGGGACCGGAAAGTATTGTAATTTCGGTGCCTTTGATATTTGTTAAGATTTTATTTTTAATCAATAATGTATTCACCCTCGTTAGCAACAACCTTTCAATACCGGATCGAAAATGAATCGAGAAAAAAATGAATTGGTTTTTCAGATTAACGAATATTTATTGCTCCGAAACTACATAACTTTCCTGTCCCCATAATATTTAACAATTTAAGGTACAAAAATATTTTATTAAACAAAATAAAATCAATCGCATCTCACTCTTATTTATTATTATAGTTCAATGCAGTGCTCAGTTTTACTTAGGTTCTGTTCAAGGTATTCAAAAGTACGAGAAAATTCGTTTTTTTTTTTTTGGATATCAATGAGATAAAATTTCAAAACAATTAAATCTTTTGAACAAATTTCAATTGACTGTTCAATTTTGAAGGAAATAAGCTGGAATTATACACATACGTAACAGTTTCAATTCTTAAATACATTATGAAAAAACAAAACTTGAATGCTTTTTGATTCTCCTTCTTTTGGTTTCTCTAAAAAAGTTCCAAACGTTGCTAGGATTGACATATTTTGATTATGTAAAAAAATTTTACCGTTAAAAAAGACTTTAGAAATTGATTTAACCATTATTTAATTGTTCAACACTTGCTCCTTTTGTAAAAATAGTCTTGTTGTTTTACCTTAGAACTTAATAGTCTTCTTTACGTTTTAAAATAATCAGAAATTTAGAGATAGCAAATTTTAATTTTTTTCCTCAACCAATCAATAAATTTTGTTCCCATACCACGGAATCTGCCATTTCAAATTTTCAGAAGTAGGGCAAATTCTCGATAAATCTTTTAACATACAACCTAATAAGTGAATAATAATTTTAAATATGCAGTTCACAGCAGGAAACAAGATGTTTGTAATTGTAGGTGGACCATATTAAAAGCATTTAAGTCCGTAATAAGAATTGTTGAGATCATCGTAAGAAAACACTTTTGATTTAACAAGTAAGAAATACGGTTTGTAGGTCATTTCAATAAGAATTTCACATCTGGAATGTTTCTAAACAATACAATTCTAAATTCTTTAACAAACTCATAAACGCTATTTTTCTTCTAACTGTTTATATCATTGTGTTTATCACATCAGTTTATTCGCAAACATTTTTTTTAAAATTTAAACAGAGTAAGTTTCTTTTTAATTTAAGTTAGTCTCGTGATTTTCTTTTTTTTTTCATTCATGATGCAAAGGGAGAAAATTGTAGAAAAACAGAATTTGTAAATAACAGAATCGTAGCTAAAAACAGATTTTTTTTATTTATGAAAAATTGATGGGAATTAAAAAAAAATTCAAGGATTTAAAAAAAAAGAACATTTCGTGTTATTTTTAACGCAATCAAAGCATCAAAAAATAGTATTGTGGATATATTGAAACATAATGCACACAGGAAAAATTGTCCTAACTGAGAATGGAATTTGTTTGTGTGTAAGAAAAATTGATGGGAATAAAAAAAAACAACGTCGTAAAGAAATTTTAAATTTTTTTAAGCAATCGAGTTATTTTTAACCCAATTAAGACAAAAAAGTAAAAACAAATATAAAGCAAAAAAAAAAAAAATAGCATTGCGGATGCATCGAAAAAATTTCGAAGAATATTTTTATGGACTTGTCAAAATCAAGTCCATAAAAATATTCCAAGAAATATTTTCAGAGATTGAAACACACCAACTCATATTTGAATTAAAATTATTTTTAAATATATTGTACTTATATACACTGTACATACTTGCGTAATTATCATACACTGTAATATTTTCATTTTGAAAACTAAGTTTTCAGTGGACCATATGTAAATTGCTTCAAATGATCTCTCGAAAAGTTGAGAAACTCCTCGGGCAAGCATTTTCGGTTGTTTCATAAGCCAAGCCTAATAAAAAATAGAAAATAAAATTATTTATACAACAAGAGTTTATAATTCAAGCTTATAATTTGAGTATCGTAAATCTTTAATTGTTGATAACATTTTCCGTAAAATAATAAAAATCTTCACCTCAAAAATAAAAACATTTTGGAAAACACAAAATGTAGTTGAATAAAAGACAAAAATTTGAAAATATTATTATTACGAGGCGCATCCAGAAAGTAAGTTTCCCTATTTTTAAAAAAAAAAAAAACTCACACTTTCAGGAACATATTTATTGGCAACAAGTAAAGCAATGTTTCAGCTATTTTTCAACATAGCCACTACCAGAATTGAGACACTTGCCGTATCGTGGGATCAACTTCTGTATCCCTCTGACGTAGAACTCTGCCACCTGTGAATGGAACAACGTGGTGAAACAGTAAACGCTGACCGTTAATGTGAAACATTCAACATTCGACGTGCATTCAAAACAAGAGGCTTGAAATGCTTACTGCAGGTATTGTGCTCGTCCACATACGACTCGACTCACAGCAGGTGTTTTGACGGAATTTGGATCGGAGTTGTTTGATCATCCACCCTACTGCCCTGATCTTGCTCCCAGCGATTTTCACGTTTTCTTGCATCTCAAGAAATTCCTGTCCTCCGGTGAGCGTTTTGGCAACGACGAAAAGCTGAAGATGTCTGTGATACGCTGGTTCCATTCACAGGCGGCAGAGTTCTACGACAGAGGGATACAAAAGTTGATCCCACGATACAACAAGTGCCTCAATTCTGGTAGTGGCTATGTTGAAAAATAGCTGAAACATTGCAGTACTTGTTGCCAATAAATATGTTTCTCAAATTGAGAGTTCTTTTTTTTAAAAAAAATGGGGAAACTTACTTCCTGGATGCGTCTTGTATTGTTCAAAAGCTGAATTTCTTACTGTAAGTATGGGCTTCCAAGGTAAGCAAGATGAGCTCATGTAAACCATGCCGTTACGAGACACAGTTGCATGTGATGCATTGTCTAGATTATGTACTTCAAAGAGTACCTTGCAATTAGGGGCCATCGGGATTCGATCTCCATTCGCCAATGTCAAAGTCTTATTATCATCTAATACAGAGTTAAGATTTTCAATCCAAATGGCATCTACAGGACCATCCAGAATTATCCAGACGAATTCTCCTAAAAATTGAAATGTAAAATAATGTCATCCATAAAATATGAAAGGTGTTAGCTAAACACAGTTTCTGCTGTTAATTTTTTTAAATCCTTGCATAGAAATTAACACTGACAATGATTCAGCTGATTGAGGTAACATTTCTCTTTTTATTTAAAGGTTTGAGTTCTGCAAAATGTATGAACTTCGGAAATCAGATAATAGCAGAGATAGCGTTTCACTAATTGAAAACAGAATGTTGGTCAATCATTAAGTAATGAATACACGCGATTTATAAAAGCATTATTTAGTGATTGTTGGTGACTATGGCGAGGAAAGAAACCTCTCTTTCGAGATTTTTTTATGCTTCCTTGTTCTACCAGCTACTCAAAAATTCGGCAAGTTATGAGCCAAATAAAGGAAGGAAAAAAGAGAATAAAATTGATCTTCAGAGCTATAAAAGTTACAAATTTATCTCGCTTTTGACCATATGGTTTAATTTTGTGGTTTAATCTGGCCATTACATTATTAACTCCAGCGCTATTTTAAATTTTATTTTCGTGAAAGAATAATTTTATTTTTAACGAAAATTCTAAATTTCAAAGGCGTTGTTTGAATATTAAAGGCGGTGATCAGTACCCAAAAACATTGCAAATTTAAACATTTGAACAGACAGTATTAATTTTTATTTGATAAACGCAAACCAATACTAGTTATTCTCTTTAATAAAATAAATAAATCTTTAATAAATCTTCAAAAGAAAGTTGCAAACTTTAAATAACCAAAAGAGTGCATCGTAACTGATGACGGAACAACAAAAATTGCTTGACATACTATCTTTTAAAATCCATGAAAATTGATGAATGAAACTTTTTTGCAAACATCACAATATTCTAATTTGACAGTACTATAAAATTCGGGGACAAATATTATATGGTAATTGGATAAGAATTCGAATTCAACAAAGAGGAAGAAACATATTAAAACTACTTTTTCAAATCCATTAAGCATTTAGGTTTCATAAATTAAAATTATAAAATAAAAATCCGTATTGAATGCTTGCATCGAACCTTTCTTTGCCTTCAAAGTTTTTCTCCATAGTGCAGAAAAAATACCGTCTGTCCAATCATCAGTGGCCACATCCAATCTTCCGAACATCTGCGGTGCAGTAATCGCTTTCGGATTCATCCTCATTTCTTTGTGAGGAGTACCAAGAGCCGTTAAAGCCGCCATGAGGATACGAATACATGAACTTTTGCCACCTCCTGCCGGCCCTAGTGTCATAATTCCATGTCGAACTAACTGAGTTTCATATAACTGCAAAGTAAAAATGATATATGAAAATATTGGGGCATATCTTATCATTCTCTAACAATTAAAATTAAATAAATTGAAAAAAATAGGTGAATTTCCTTGCGTTTAGCTAACCAAAAAGTATAAAAAATTTTTATATTTTTATTTCCAAATTTAAAGGCATTTGCTTTTATTTTCGTTCGATTTTTATTATTATTATTCGAAATTACTGAAATATGTCATTCCATATTAAGGGCTTAAAACTTATAGCAATGTTTCTTTGATATAAAATAATCCTATGATATTATCATATTAACGCAGCATTTTGTGATTGATATATTAATTAACATAACACATTAATTAACATATATCTAAACTTACTAACTATTTTACGATTATTAAACTGTTGTTAAAAAGTTGCATTTAATTTTATTAGAAACTTTCGATATAACTATTTCTAGTCAACGTGTACACTTAAAATATTAAAAATGAAATTGTAAGGCATGAGGAAATAATTTTTCATATCATTACTAAAATAGTCTTTCTAGCAAATAAACAATCTTTTATAGCAGCCAATAATTAAATGAAAAGTTAAAAAACAAAATTGTAGATGAAGCTACGATATTTTTTTTAGACATAATGTAATTTCATATCCTTTATAAACAGGCTCACCGATTAAAACAAGCTCAGTCACATGGGTAATCATAAAATGCCAAGCTTGTTCAAGATTACCTGAATAAATTTTTTTCTAAATTACAGATTATTATTTTCACAATAAAAAATGAACTTATAGTTACAAAAATGAATGAATAAATAAAACCAGACTTTGAATTCAATGGCGGGCTGAATGACACATTTAGGTAGTGTCTTTAAGCTGATACTTTTGAAGTGTGTATTACATAAACCTAAATAAAAATTGAATGCTATTTTTTTAAAAATAACTTCGTATACTTTTTAAATAAGCTCCCTGAATAAAAATTGGTCTCCGCAAGAAAAATCACGAAAAACATATTTTGATACCACATAACTCTGTGTTGCACACTATAACTGCTTGGCTACGGTTATTAAGGTTTTACAAGTACGTCGTATTCAGTTCAAACCACTGGTTTTGAATCTAATTACGTAAATCCAACAAACTGAGAGGATGAATGCTGAATTTCACAGCTGTTCCAAACTGTACTGTGTCCTCACATTTTCTATGGAGTTCAATCAGGTGATTTTGCAGGTCAATCAAAATGTAATAGAGTGTCTATGTCTACATAAAACCAGAATATTCTATCAGCCCGTTGAACTTTGCTGTTGTCATCATGACAAATAATGGAATCAACTCATCATGAAAACGGTGCTTGAAAAACAGCACCTGATCATTCAGAATGTTAAAAAAATCTGTTGATTCCTGATTTTGGTTTATATCAGTGTTCACTTCAGTAAGCTGATACTATATAATTTTTTTAAAAAAAAGTAGCCCCAAAACATCACAGACCCACCTCCATTAACCATTTATAGGGATATTTTTTCTAGTAATGCTGTATTAAAATATGTTTTAGAATAATATTGATTTGCAGAAAGAAATTAATTTAGCATATTGAGTAAAATTTATTGATTTTCACGAAAATTGTTTGAAGGGAAAAGTAGGAGATATTTTTCAAATCTTTATCTACTGTAAAAATATATCCATAAACTTTAACTTCTATTCTTATAAATAACAGAATTTATAAATTTTGTGTTTATAACTACAAATAAACTCGATAAAAAGTGATCAAATACAAATGAACGATAGCACGAGATTAAAAAGCTCCCATGCGTTGGCCTCTTTTCTGGGCCCTAAGCTAATTTTTACTCTTCCTCGTATTTATGCAATTTTTTACGACTCCCTGAAACGGAATGCTCGGTTTTCCCGGCATTATTGTAAAACACAAAAATATTAAATTTAAATTTTATATAACGGATTAAATTGTGTTTTTTTTTTTATGATTTTTCATGCGGGGGCTCATTTTTTCCCCGGCGAACCTGCTTAAAAGTTGCGTGTACTGCAGTGAAACAAGAAAGGTGAAGTTCATTGGGAAAAATAAGATAAAAGAATGGAATACCTGCAAAAGCTTGACTGTCCAAGCGGGGTATGATACTAAGCCTGCCTCTTTCACCTGCGCTTCTATAGCCTCTTCCAGTTCAGTGTTGCCTTTTTTGCGATCTTTAATACCAGGGAAGAGGTCATTCAGCAGAGACAAAAATAAGGGCTCGTTCTCATCAATCTGAATAATGAATGAATGATATTTCACAAACGATAAAAAAAGGTAAAATGAAAATGAATGATATTTCACAAACGATAAAAAAAGGTAAAAATATGGTTCTAACATAATATGATTATTCCTTTTTCTTAGTTCTCCGATGAATACGAGTTCTTCCGTTTTCAAAGCTATGTCCTTTATGAATTCCTAAAATTCATAAAGGACTACGAGAAAATAATAATAAACTCGAAATTGAAGAAGTAAAAATATTCATAATATAGAACGTTGAAATATTACCATATTTACTGTTCACAAGAAATAAACTAAAGCTGATGGTTGTAGACAATTTACAAGCTCATTATTAAAAGATAATTTTCTAAAAAAAAAGTGCTTTTTTTTAAAATCATCCTTTCATTTTCAAACTGTTGTCTTTGAATAAACATAAATGCTGAATTCCATGCCAACTGAAACCAGTAGTAGAATTACAAGCGTAACAGAGGGGAAATCACACAGGTATTTTATCATAATAAATGTATTAAATATATGTGAAAACAAAAAATTGTGCAATAATATGCTACTTTAAGGTGCAATGTTTAATTAAATGGCATGACATTTCCCTGCAACTATTCGTCAAATTTGCAAAATGTCCCCTCTGTTACATTAAATTTTTCGAAGTTAATAAAAATGTGTAAGCAATTTAAAAAGTCTTAGAATAATTTATTTTACCTTGAAATGTGATAATGAGGAAAAAAAATTACAAATAATGTTTAGGATGTTCTAAATAAAAGAATATAGCGGAAATAACAGTGCATGTCAAAAATGTGGGATTTTCTTTGTCCCCTCTGTTACGGACGCTTTTAATTACCTGGTAATTAAACTATGTGGCTCTTTTATTATTTTATGCAATTAAATTAAACATTGCGCATTAAAGTAGCATATTATTGCACAATTTTTTGTTTTCACATATATTTAATAAATTTTTTAAGATAAAATACCTGTGTGATTTCCCCTCTGTTACGCTTGGAATTCTACAGATACATTAAAAATATTTTAACCTTTAAAACTTGTTATATCGTAACAGTTTAAATATAGAAATGAGTTCAAATATTACAGTGGGCAATCATATTCATTGTATAATTCAAATTTTTTCACTGTAGCTTTTCTTTTAAAATGCTGAAAATTATTAACGAAGAGTTCAAATTGGTATCATATAACAACCAGGAGGGTTAAACAATAAAACACTCGCTCTTCATTAAGGCAATCCGAGTCTAAATCTCAACGATGACTTGTATTGACCATAGAATTGACGCAAAATATTCGCTGCCCTGTAAAATTCGGTTAATAGGCTAGATTCCCTTTTGTCACCGGACTTGCCATATAAGGCTTCTGTGGATTTCTTTTCTATGTAACGTAAATACGGGTTAGTCTTACCCAGCGAATTCTTCAATAATTCGAGTTTGACCCAGGAGTTCCCTTGTCTTCATTATTAGGTTCCGAATTAGAAGGCTCCGAGTTGCATATTATAAACCATACTTCTGCTATATGGATCAACTGTCTAATCTCAGCTGCTTTAAAAGAACTTAAATAATTTTAAACACAAAAACTAGGGCTGGAATAGCCTGGTTGGTAGGGTACTGGGCTGAAGTCCAAAGAGTAGTGGGTTCGATACTCTCCGGCTGAAGACTCCCAGTGTAGTAAATGGGGACTGATGCACGTTAAATCTGTCGAGTCTCAAACTCCCCCATGTTTCCATAACAAATCATGCCTCTAGGGTGCTGGTCCAGGAGTTTCCTTGTCTTCTGGATTGGTTCAAATTTCCAAGGCTACGCAGTTGAACATTAGTAATCGTAAATCCAAAATTCGATCGGCTGTTCAACGACGGTTATAAAATAGAATAAAACACAAAAACTAAACTGCTGTAGAAATTATTATTAATTCGTCGATTTTTATTTTTTAACTGGTACACTTAATGACTTTTGACTGCTAACTGTTCATCAAACTAAAAAAAAGAAGCTTTTTCTGGAATTTATCACGCATTTAATGTATTTAACAAATTGATGATGTAAGCAATTAAAATAAAATTCCAAAAAAAAATGAAATTTGTAAATATTTAAAATAGAAATTGATTAACAAAAAATATTTTCATAAAAGGAAAATAGAGGCAAAGTTATTGAAAAAATTTCAAACACCAATAGTGAAAGTACATTAAGAATATTTAAAATTGTGAAATAATTCATATTCAATTTATAAAATCTATATTTAAGATTATAATCTCCTCCGACTTCCATAAATGCAAGTAATGAAAATTAACAACGTGTTGCAATTCGTGACAGAACAATGGTGAAATTTAATAACCCAGACATTTATCTAAACTCATAATGAGTAAGGTTTTGAAACATTCTATAAAAGTTATGAATATTTACTTTCAAATATTAACTTCTGGCAGCTATTTTAATTAAACAACTGTTTTCAGAAATATTTAAATATTATATAGAAATATCTGATACATTCATTTGCGTAACATCAGAACTTAAGAGAATTGCGTCTCAAATGTAATGCAAACGCGTTTAAAGGTTAGTTAAAACTAACCTTTAAAGTTTATTAATGTGTCTTTAATAAAACTTAGAACAGCTTATTCACACTTCCAAACATATTGTTGCTAAAAAATAAAACTTTTTTTTTTAATTCGAATTTTTTTTTATAACAGTCGTTGAACAGCAGACCCAATTTTTATGGGTTTACGATTTCTAATGTTCAACTCCGCAGCCTTGTAATTTTTAACCCAATGCAGAAGACAAAGGAACTCCTGGTTCGAGTATTGGGAGAAAGTTTTACCTTCGTGACGGACTTTTCGATGGAACTAACCCGCATTTTCGTTACATGTAGAGTAAGACCACGAGAACCTCCCACGGTTAACCTGGCGGAAAGGGGACTCTTACCCATGATCCGTCTACCATTGATTATATTTCACGTCAGCATTGTGGTCGGTGCAAGTCGGATGCGGAATTCGTATCGACTGGGATTCGAACCCGGTTCGCCTCATTGGAAGGCGAACGCTCTATCCCCTGACCCATCGCGTCTCTAATTTGAAATTTGCAAAAATTAGGAAATTTAATATTAAAAAAAAACGAAAAAAACTATAGACTTTTTACAGATGTTAAAATTATGATCATAACTTAGATTAGTGATGCTGTTATTAAAATTATAATATTATTCAGACGAATGTTATTATATAAAAATTATTAGTGAGTTAATCGAAACTGGACATACACTTTTGGCTGTGTCGTTGTAATATCGATTGTTAGGTTGGAGTTTAACTATTGCCGCTGTTTCTGAGAAAACCTAATCGCTTCTCCTCGCAACTTCTTTTGCTTTTATCTCGTGGTATATGATATTAAAATTACTATCTGATTCAACTTGATAAATTCGTAACAGTTATTTAGTGGTATATTATCCAAGGAAACAAGTATAATTATAAGTAATAACAATAAAATATTGTAATAAATTTTTAAATGATGAAAGCTAAAATCCTTACCAATTTGGATAAATTCATGTCTTTTAATACTCTCATGACTATGGCACTTTCGGAATCTGTGGTATTGCTTCGTTTAGTAGCACCAAGGGTGCGCAAAACAGAAAGGATATTTCGTAGACCAAAATCATAATGCACCTAAATTTGAAATAAAAAACCAAAATATCTTACAAATATATAAAAAGGGAGAAATCCGTGATCGCATTATTGGAATCATCACTGATTAACCATTAGTCAAATGTTTTTCTCTTTTGTCGCCCCAATGGACTGATTTAGTTTTTAATTCCAGCCAATATACATTTCTTAAGGCGCCATTAAAAAAAATTTCCTTCAACAGTATTCCTATTTATATTTAAATTTCCACCCAGACAGTAGTTATGAATAAGTTAATCATGAAAAGAGCATATAAATACTTTTAATTAATACAATGCAAGAATATTAAAAATGCACACTAGTCAAAATAAATAGAAAAAGCTCAGTCTGGATAACAGTCACCTGCAAAAATACCAAAATTATCGTCTGCTTTTCTTTTTTATCTTATTGTGTCGTTTTTTTATTAATGCTTATGATAGCCATATTTTTTGCGACTCTTACTACTTTTTATTTGTTTTTATGGTGTTGAAGTTGATTTTGTCGTGGAACTTGAAAAACACCCATTTTTCAAATAGGTAAAAAAACAATTTATATGAGAAAAAACTGAGTTATGCTTAATATTATAAAATTCTACACAATTGCCAAATTTTGAAGAAAAAAATGTTATACAATTAACTTCTTTTCGTTTATTTTAATCAAATATATACTTTATGGCGCGACTCGTATAAAATCAAGCACTGGATAAGTAGTTTCATTTTGGTAACTGCAACTCTCTTGGGACCACAACTCTCAATGCGGAAATACTATTAAATTCTATAAAATTTTAATTCAGTTCATTTTATTAAATTATTTATATTTCCATTTAGTTTGCATAATATATAGTTCTGTTACTTTGTTTGCTCATGAAATCGGTTGCTGCACGCTTTGTAATAGGTGTGGATTTATTTTCTCCAAGGAATGGATTGAATAGGTACTTTACTTTTAAAGCATTTTTGCGAGCATGTTGTTTCTAATGACACTTAGACAAGTCAAACTCGACAGCCATTGACATTTTGCGAATTAAGCTAGGAAGGTGCGTCTTTAGTTTGACAAGAGAGCACCACAAGGGTGAAAGTACATCTTAGCTCAGAATCCCACAGATAAAGGGCAGCACCTCTTATTTTATAACTGTCGTTGGACAGTCGACCCAATTTTTGGGTTTACGACTACCAATGTTCAACTCCGAAGCCTTGTAATTTTGAACCCAATCCAAAAGACAAGGGAACTCCTGGATCAAGTATTGAGAGAAACTTGCCTTCGTGGAGGACTTTTAGATGGAACTAACCCGCATTTGTATGGGGAGGAAAACCACGTAAACCTCTCACAGATAGTCTGACCGCAATGGAACGCTAAACCATGAACGGTCTACCGATGAGGATATCTTATGTCGGCAAACACTGTGGTCGGTGCTAGCCGGGTCCGGAATTCTATCAACCAGTCATCTCTGGGATAGGAATCCGGTTCACTTAATTGAAAGGGGAGCGCTCTATCCCCTGCGCCACCATGGCCTCACTCTTTCAGACCGGAATTCGATTCTCTAACCACTGGGCTGCTACAACCTTTTCCGAGTATAGTAGTGTAATGCAATACTTGACATACAATTCATACAGATCTACGATTTAAAAGCATAAAGCAACTTTAATTAAACAAACTGTATTTCATTGTCTTGTGTAGCACAGATAAGTTGTGAATTGGACTTTATTGTAAGTTATCAATAAATCCTAAGTTCAAAAAGTTTTCCTCATAAATAAATTTCTTTTAATGTTCAGAATATTAAAATCCGTAACCTCGTGTCCCAAAAATGACCAACGATGAAGGATTGGAAACATGGTTCACTACATTCTGCTTAGATAACCATTTCAACAAGTTTCAAAATCCAGTAATAAGTTACAACGATCGTCAATCGATGACTTTGCTAACTGATAAACCATAAAAAAAATTTTTCCAATAAGCCATCATTTGTAGCTACAGTCTGTAGTGCAGTCTGGCGCGAAAATAATCAGACGCCAAATTAATTTCAGCTAAAAAGTAGCAAAAAAATTGTCCTGATCAGCAGAGCCAATTTTCGACTATCATAGAAATTAGAAATTGTATGTTAATAAATAGCCAAGTTTCCTTAGGCAGAACACACCAAATCTTTTACTTTTCACTCATTACGTTAATCATCTCGTTACGTTTTTAAATCATCTGTTATTTTTGTGAGACGAGGCGTTAAATGCAGTTCAAAATAAGTTCAGTTAATGATAAGTTCATTTCATAATCATCAGTTCACATAACTAGGTAAAAACTTGTAATTTTCTATTTTTTGCTTGTTTCTTTGACTAAATCAATGTTGTCATCAGTTAGTCGACGGTTGTCTTCAGAGTTCTCTGTTTCCATATTTCTCAAAAGTCTTTCTTTGGAAATGTCACCTAGTCTGGTTCTTCGACGAGATTTCAGTCGCAAGCGAAATTTTCGCCAAATTGATGTAATCAACCTTTTTCTTGCTCTGGTAACTACGTTAGGTTTGCACTGTGCAAAAAATCTATGAACTAAACCCCTGTTGCTTTCTTCATTAAGATCTATACGAGAAAAGTGTGTTGAATGAGCAGTTAGAATAGGCTGAAAACTACAACTCACTGCACTGTGTTCAGTGAAAGCACCTTTATGGCGTTTAATTTTTTGTTTCATGTCAATCTGAATATTTGAATTTAGTGGATGTAAATCGTAGAAGTTGTTACAGGCTGAAATATCTTCATTGTTATTAAATGTGTTTTCATGTTTATATCTAAATTGATCTTTAGAAAGTGTATTAGGTGAACAGTCATATCTTGTCTGGATGGCATCAGACATTTTATTACAAGTTCTGTGTTTATTTTTTGGCTGATCTTTGCCTATATTTTTATTATCTCTTCGTCTCAAATCATACTTAATTTTTCTACTATCAGTCTCCTTCAAAATTGATGATTCTTCGATAAAAGTTGACACTCCATAACCTCGATTGTCAAAAGAACCTCGTGGTACATTTGAATGACATGACTCGAAATAAGCATCATTTGCTAAATTCACTTTTTGACATTTTACAATCTTTGTATTCCTTTTTTCTTCTTTTATGGATAAAGTATCCAATAAAGAAACAGTATCCTCAAGCTGATTTGCATATAAATAAGATCGTTTTCGCCCGCGTGCTGTATCAGCAAAAAAAGTATCTAAAAGTGCGTCGTAAGCTGTTGCTCTTTTTCTAGGCTCCACCACTAAGAATCTATTGATGAAACTAAAAAGCTGAGAAGCACAATTATTTGGCAATGCACAATTCTTGTGAAGCTTGTTAAAGTCCTTCTCTGCCTTGCTTGTGGCACTTAACACAACTGGCAGTATATCTGCAGCATATGAGACTTCAGCTTTGGTATCCACATTCCTGTATAAGTATTGTCTTGTAAATATCTGCAAAACAAAGATACCGTAAGTCCACATCTCTGCTTGGAAACCATCCAATGAATCATTACTTCCCAATGCAACTTCTGGCGGTAAAGAGGGTAAGTGCAATCCGAATTTCTTAATTTGTACATCTTGGTAGTTTGTCAAGGTCGAAAAATCGCAAATGATTGCTGAGTCAGTTCTTTCACATATTAAAATATTCTCTTCTTTAATATCTAAGTGGCAAAGACGTTTACCATGCATATATTCAATTCCTTTAAGCACATCAAAAACATATTTTTTCTTTCTTGTGAATGCAGAACTATCTGCATGAAAGTTAGGGACCCTTTCATGAAGTAGGTGGAAGAGATCGGCGCCAACGTACGGCATTAAATACGCATCGTATCCACCTGTTGCGCCAATATCAAGAAGATTTTTCTTTAAAGGTAACACATTCGGATGCTGCAGTAAAGGCCATAAGGTCGTTTCCCCAAAGGTAGCCTTAACTACCAACTTAGCAGCATATTTTGCTCCAGTCGATTTTTCTCGAACTTCGTAAACTCTACCAAAAGACCCTTGCCCTAAAACAGATTTCAACTCAAATGGACTGTTTTCAAAAATATTGTTTGCTATTTCATCTAAAATAAGTGAATAGTTTTCAATTTCAGTCATAGTAATTTGTTTTTGTACGTAGATAATGGTTTAAAGAATGTTTTGAAGTATTTTTCATACTTCTGCTAACCCTGATACTTTTAAACTTAGTTGATAATTAGAGAGAAAATTCTATGAACAGGTTAATACAATAGAACTAAATTATTGAATCTTGAGCATCTTCAGTGAACAATAACTATTCTCATTCACGGATGGTGCATATGGGATAATATATTTTTGTTAATCATAATTATTTTTCACTTTCACTGGCTTATTCAGGTATATGTTCATTGATGCAATGGTTGTAAGTGATAAATATCAGAAGCATTTTTTCAGTCAAAATCCACCCCTATGCTGATAATATGCTCTGCTATTTAACAGATTTTGAATTTCTAAGGAAGCAATTGTATTTTTTAAGATAAATAAAATGTAGATGTTGATATTAGAAATTTTAAAAAATTTAATTGATTGTTATTGTGCTTTCTTTGTTCTCCCTTTTTTTTATTGAAGGACATCAGGAAAATTATATATATTTCTTTTTATTAATCGTAATGCGTGAAGCATAACGGTGAACAAGATTCATTAAAATCTTGAAGATTTAGATTCATTAATTCACAAGATGGAAATCGGATGGATATTTTCAGAGATTCGGTTACAAACATCGAAGTTTGATTATGTGCTCCTAAAGTGGTACATTTGTTATAGAGATGAGATAGCCTCATCTCTATAACAAATAGCACGCGTTTATATTGAGATGAGATAGCCTCTGCTCAGTCAAAGCCTGAAACACAAATCCAGGCTCGACACGAGCTCGGATTTAATAGTTAAAAATAGTTACTGCAGGCTCAAAAAAAGGTTTGTTTTCTTTTCATGTCAAACTACGAGTTAAATTTAGATTAGTTAGTTTAATTTTTATCATTATTTTTTGTTTTGGCTTTTAGTCTGTTTTCTTCTTCCTATTATTATTACTGATCATTTGATTATTAAGGTAAAGTTGCATATGTGAAGGATTTGGAGTTTGGACCACACATAATATGCCACCATTTTTAAATAGTCCAACAGTGCGTTTATGTCAAAGAATACCACAATTGCTATGTAGGTGTTCAGAGGATTTAGCGTACTCTACTGTTACCTGGTGGAAACTACAGAATTTTATAAAGTACCTATATGGAAACTATATTTGAAGCTAGTTTAATATGCAAATTCCCCCATTTGAAAAAAAAAACATGTTGTGCTGACAAGTCCTTAAAATCGCTTTATATGCAATCTGTTAGGGTTCGCAAAAAATTTACGTGAGTCTCGGGAGGGCTTGGATCATTCTTTCTCGGATTGTAATCTAAAATGCTTGGATTACAAGGTCACAGGGTGGGTTTGGGCAATCAAAAAGGATTCAAAACTGATCTATAATATTTCTATGTCTGCATTGGAAATATTTGCATTCCTAACAAAGATTAAAAATAATTATAAACTAGTGAAGAAAAAAAGAAGGAAATTAGATTTTTGGCTAAGTTCATTTTGAAACTTTAAAATTAACTTAATTAATAACTGAAAGATTACCTGTTTTGATAATTGTTCTTCGCATAATTTATACAGAGTGTAAAACTTCCTCGCAAGAGTGATATTTTCTAAAAATCCACAACTTGCCAACTTTACTCTGATAATTATCTGTCTGTCTGGAACCATCATGGCTACAGTGCGAAACTGTATTTTCAAATTTTCCGGAAGCTCTTGTCTGCCTGCATATCCAGGATTCTAAAACAAATAAAATATAATAATGCAATTAAAATGTATTATTAGAGCCGCAATGGTTTAAGGGGACAGAGCTTTCGCCTTCCAATAAGGCGAACCAGGTTCGAATCCCAGTCAATATGAATTCCGCATCCGGCTTGCACCGACCGCAGTGCTGACGTGAAATATCCTCACGTCCTGGTAGACGGAACATGGATTAGTCCCCTTGCCGTCAGCCTAACCGTGGGAGTTTCTCGTGATCTTCCTCCCCATGTAACGCAAATGTGGGTTAGCTCCATCAAAAAGTCTTCCATGAAGGCAAATTTCTCCCAATACACGATCCAGGTGTTACCTTGTCTTCTGGATTGGATTTAAAATTACAAGGCTGCGGAGTTGAATATTAGTAGTAGTAAACCCATAAAATTGGGTCGGCTGTTCAACGACGGTTATTAAAAAAATATTATTATTAGGTATATGGATAACATGGGAGGTTTGGCCTACATTTAACAAAACTATTTTTCTAGCTTCTTTTTAAAAAGAAAAAAAAAAATAAATAAAATTTCCAAGTTGACATTATTCGATGACTTATAATGTTCGCAATCTACTCAAATATTATTTTTCCTCCTAAAATTGTACATCATGTTTTTTTTCAGTATTACTTCATAAATGTACAAATCGGATCAAACCTCTTTACTTGAGGATGGTTTAACCCACTACAAAGAAAGTTTGACCAATAGAAATCAAAATAATTATTGAAACCTATACGGTAATAATTAAATGTCTAAATAAATGCTACAAACAATAATTGTGTCTAAATGAATATCAAATATTTATTTACATATGAAAAATAACACATCTGAACTGAAATTGTTAAAAGAATATAGTTTGAGTACACTGATAGCTATCCAGATACAATTCTATTGCTTGTTATTATCCTTTTCTTTCTTAATTTTTCATACAGTTTTTTTTCCACTTTAAAATCAAACGATTCTTAAAATAACCGTGCATAAAAAATTAATTAACCAAACCATGAAAAAATGACTATGCGCGAAACATTAACGAAAAATCAAACGGTTGTCATAGTAATTAAAAATATTAAAAAAATTACCAAAAACTGAGCATAAATTTATTTGAAGTAAAAATTTTAAGGATTAAATACTTATGAGTGAGTACCTCCATCTGTAACAATGTTTTTTCGGAGACCAAATTATGCTTTAAAATATAAAACTAGTGGGTACTTATGCTTGTGTTAAACTTTCATCACGGTGAATTGTGTCTTTACGAGGTTATATTTATATTAGAGAAATTAATACTATAAACATCTACGCTAAAACTTAATAATATACCTTTTTGAAGTTAACCGAAAGCTGAACACAGGTAAAACTAATTAATTGAACAATCACGTGAAAATAATAATCTTAAGAAGGGATTTTATTTCAAATACAATAACGAAAAACAGAGCAGTCTTCGAAATTATGAAATATATTAAATTTCATATTTGCTTGACTACTGAAAGTAAATGATGCTTTCAAATGTCAAAGTTCATTTTCTCCCGACATTAAATAGATGTTTCTAAATCTAAAAGAAACTACTTTTTAAAAAAAAAAAAAACACTTTTAATATAAACGCATAAAAAAAGGAAAAAAATAATATTTCTAATCCAAAAATCATAAGATCAAAATGAAAATCGAAATAGAGCAATGCGTTTCCTTGACATAGAATTTAAAGCGCTTCGCTGAAATAAAACAATCGGTTAAATTGTTTAATAAAAATTGCGAACATAATATACGAAAGGAGAGAAAAAATTGACTTGAACTTGCCGTTGCGAAAATTTATAGATTCATATATTTTATTTAATTTTTTTTAAATATGAAAAGAAAGCAGAGCAATAATCATATTAAGCAAATATAAAAAAAAATCCAATTTCAATATTATTTAAAGCAAACATTTTTTATTTATTTATTCATTCATTTTTTAGAGCATCCATGTTCAATGTTTGAAAAATTAATAAAAAATGAAATAAAATAAAAATAGTAGGAAAAAAAAGGTGGCGGAGGTCTGCATTTCGTGGCGACTTTTCGCGTGTGCCCCACTACCCGTATTTCTGACTTTAAAATAAATTCATATTTACAAATATTTCTATGCATTTAAAATCTTATAACTATACAAATGACTAAAAAACATTCCCATCTATATTTATATGAATTATAATAAATAAAGGAAAATAAAGTTTGAAAGAAAAAGAGAAACTGAAACATAAGCATAACGCAATCCGAAAGAAAATGACGCAATCATAGTACCGCCCTTCTGACGTATCATTTAACTGTTACTGCTTACTAGCGCCATCTGCCAGAGTTCAGCACAAATATTACACACACGTAAAAAAACATTTATTACGTAATCAGTAGGAAGTAAACAGTAGCAGAAAAGATTACAAGAAACATTTATTCTCTGTTCCATTGATTACCGGCATCAAATTATCTCTGGAAACGACATGTAATCGTATATCTACCTGAAAAAGATTAAAAACGTGACGTTTACATTCCATTTTCTCTTTTCAAAGAATCCAGTGCGGTATTCGCTGCCATCGATCTGAAACAAGACGGCGTGGAACATCATTCGATTTCCCTTAAAAATGTTTTCTACAATACCAAATGGGTATCACAAAGTTCTTCCCCATTTCTTAGAAGGGGTTGTTTGTAAAGGATTTGGCCGAGGAAGTAAAGAATTAGGAATTCCAACCGCTAATTTCGATCACAAAGTGATTCAGAACTTACCCTCTGAATTAGACTGTGGCATTTATTATGGTTTGGCTAATGTCAACAATGGACCGATATACAAAGCTGTTTTGAGTATAGGCTGGAATCCTTTCTATCAGAATGATAAAAAATCAGTGGAAACTCATATTTTGCATGATTTTGATGGTGATTTCTACGGAGCGAAGCTGAAAGTTGCGATTTTAGGTCACATACGACCTGAACGTGATTTCTTGTCTTTGGATGATTTGATTGCTGAAATCAAGAATGATATTAAAATTGCTGATGAGAAATTAGAATTAAATGAAATCTCTAAGTATAGAACTCATCAGTTTTTTCAAGTGGCTAATGGTGACATTAATTTATAGAAATTGATTAATAATATATTCATGTATAGGTTAAGTACTTATGTCTGGTGGTAATGTTAAGTTGATGATTGAATTCTTAACTATTCTTCATTATCTATAAAGAATGTGTAGTGAAACTTTGCGATCTGACCATTTAGAATGGAACTTATTTCTTGTATTATTTTTATTTAATGTCTATTTTTTAATGTTTATTTTGTAAACAGTATTTTATTCTGGTTAGGTATATTGTTTGTGAAGCACTTAGTTTACACCTGTTTATTATTTTACTTTAAATGCAGTTTTATGAAGTGCTGTTAAGTTGGAAAGTTAATTCTAGTAATTTAATTTTTTAAATTTTCGTTCAAGTAAAATTAATGTTCTTAACAAATACTTAATATTATTGTATTTTTTTTTTTAATGTTTAAATTTTATTATTGAATTGATAAAGTATGCAATGTTATTAAAAAATGTAATTCATACAATAGAATGACTTTTCTAGCATAAAATTTGTATTAGAGTTTTTTTTGTAATTTTTTTTTTCTATATCAATATAGTCAATAGAATGTTAAGATATATTTGGAAATTATATTGAGGTTTTAATTATAACAATGTTAATTACAGTNTTGTATACGAGTTTTTTTTTAATTTTTTTTTTTTTAGTTTCATTTTTTTTCTATATCAATATAGTCAATAGAATGTTAAGATATATTTGGAAATTATATTGAGGTTTTTAATTATAACAATGTTAATTACAGTTATTAATGTAAGTGTTACACAAGGAACAAATGTTCGCCAACAGTATTTTCTAAATTGTATTATAAAGATAGTTATATTGATAGTTGCAACGGGTAATGTTTAGAAATACATTATATGAACAAGTTGGATATACTTAGTATATATTTACAATTAATTTTTAAGGTGTATTATATTTTACGATAATAGTTAACTGTAAAACAATGTTAATTGCAAAATAAATATGTTAATGATATTTTTACAATTTGCATAAGGTACTTTAAGTTCTGTCATCATTTATTGCATCCATTAAAATTGTATCACAATTGTCATATAATTCTATTCATTATTGATTATATAATTTGTTACATGTATTTACAAATCGATTAGGAATCTTTAAAACAAAAACTGTTATTTCTTTATTATTGAATTAAAATGTTCTGTTAAAAGTTTTTAAACTTATTGTTGATATGCTTTTTGAATTACATTATCTGTAATTTTAAATTTCATACAATTAATTTTTTTAATTCAGTATTTTACAAGTGTTTTTTAAAAGCTGTAAGAATGTGAACTTAATTTAGTTTAATATATTATAGGTATTATAATATTTATTTCAAAACTTTGATTTCGCACTTTTCGGCAATCAAAATAAATATTCTTTAAAATCGTTGATAGTTTCCTGAACAACTTTTTAACTATACAAATCTGTCTTTATATATAATTTTATTACTAATGTTTTTGATGAAAATATTTTATTTCTCCAGTGTTCTTTATTATTCTCACTTCTACAATAGGTTTGTTAATTTTTTAAATTTTAAGTTATAAGAATAATAAAAAGTATTTATATTGGTTGTCAGAAACTATTGATGTAATAAAGATTGTTGTTGAATACTGTTCAATCCTTATTAATACAAGTCTGAAAATGAAAGTTCTACTTATATATATATATATTTTACTAAACATAAGAGTTACTTAATTTTGTTTTCCAAAATATTGATTTCAGATAAAAATACTGAAGGGATCTATCCTATAATGTAGGATCAACAACCAGTGGCCTGCTAATCATCAATGTGCATCCTTTCCCCCCCCCCCTTGCAGCCGAAATTTAAATAGTAAAAGAAGCAAAAATTTTGAGAAATACTGAAATTATGGGATTCAAATTCAAATACCTAAATCGAGAAGTACAGCTTAAATATTGAAATTTTTCTACATATTGATTTCTCAAACGAAAATTTTCTTAAACCGAAACATGTTTTAAACACATATAGTTCAAAAGTATTTTAAAAAATTAGATACATAAATAGTTATTTTTCTTGAGAGAAAGTTCATAATCTGCTGCAAAATTATTATTACTTATGCCTATTATTTTATTCATTAATATTATTTTTTTTAATTTAAAATTATATTAACTACACTTAGAAATTTTTTTTTACAATTTATTGTGTTTATCTTGGTAGTTCTTAATACCAATTCATATTATTGTTATTATACTAGTATTTTTTATGTATTATTATTATTTATTTATTTATTTGTTTTTTTGAGGAGGAGGAAACTTAGTGTGCAAAACTTCAAATGTTTTTATTTTTAATTAAATTTAAAATTAAGTATAGAAAAAATAGAATTTTCTATACTTTTTCTTGGTAATTCATAAAGACCAATTCATGTCGTTCTTACAATGCTAAGAAAGAATTGAATTTTTATACTTTGATTATTATAACAAAAACTTAATATATATATATTTTTTTGGAGGAACGTTTTGTGCTTTTATTGTAATGTTTGCTTGAAGACTGAAGTATTCTCATTAATTTATGTTATGAGATTATTATATACCTAAGTTTATTTTGCTTGTAGGCTCCCATTTTTCATTTATTTCATAAAAACTTTATATTGTCAAAAGTTATTGAACCATTTTTACGTACCGATCAGATCTTGTTAGTAAGAAAGTTTGNCTCCCCCCCCCCTGCAGCCGAAATTTAAATAGTAAAAGAAGCAAAAAGTTTGAGAGATACTGAAATTATGGGATACAAATACCTAAATCGAGAAGTATAGCTTAAATATTGAAATTTTTCTACATATTGATTTCTCAAACAAAAATTTTTTTAAACCGAAACATGTTTTAAACACATATAGTTCAAAAGTATTTTAAAAAATTAGATACATAAATAGTTATTTTTTTGAGAGAAAGTTCATAATCTGCTACAAAATTATTATTACTTATGCCTATTATTTTATTTATTAATATTTTTTTTATTTATTTAAAATTATATTAACTACACTTAGAAAAAAAATTGTACAATTTACTGTGTTTATCTTGGTATTTCTTAATACCAATTCATATTATTGTTATTATACTAGTATTTTTTATGTATTATTATTGTTTATTTATTTGTTTTTTTGAGGAGGAGAAAACTTAGTGTGCAAAACTTCAAATGTTTTTATTTTTAATTAAATTTAAAATTAAGTACAGAAAAAATAGAATTTTCTATACTTTTTCTTGGTAATTCATAAAGACCAATTCATGTCGTTCTTATAATGCAAAGAAAGAATTTAATTATTATAAAAAAAAACTCAATTGTTTTTTTTTTGGGAAGAATGTAGAATGTTTTGTGCCTTTATTGTAATGTTTGCTTGTAGACTGAAATATTCTCATTAATTTATATTATGAGATTATTATATACCTAAGTTTATTTTGCTTGTAGGCTCCCATTTTTCATTTATTTCGTAAAAACTTTATATTGTCAAAAGTTATTGAACCATTTTTACGTACAGATCAGATCTTGTTAGTAAGAAGGTTTGAAGCAATGATAATTTAAAGTTAATTAAATTTTATGTTCACAATCAATCAATTTAAAGATGCATTAGCCACGCCTTCATAGTTCTTGGAAAGGTGATTCTAAAGGTTCAGAAAATGAAATTTTTATTTAGTAAAAAAAAAAAAATTATGCTGAAGAACTGTCCCCTTCATAATTTCAATTCGATCTTTTTTTTTTTTTTTTTGCTTAAAATGTTTAATGCTTTTTTGTGAATTTTCTTTAAAGTTCTCTATAATATTTCATTTATATCAAAGTCGACAAATAAAGATTTAAATGTCATATTTTTTTTTGTATATTGTATATTTTGAACCTTTTGTTATGATTGATATATTTTGCTTGTTAAATTCCAAACATAAAATGAAAGCACAAAATTTTTAAGATGTTTCTATCCTGGTGTGTAACACTAGTGGTCTTTATCTTTCTTAAACTTTATTTTAGGATTAGACATCATATTAATAAAATAATTAATTTATCCTTGTGCAATCTCCTCAGACTAATAGGAAAGAAATCTATTTTAAATTGTATCTAAAGGAAAAATATTTTCATGTATTAAGCTTATGACTGGTAGTAAGAAGATAGTAAGTTAGGTAATATAAAAAGAGATATAAATAACGCTGCCTTGTGTGCACAGCACACCTTAATTTATACGAAATAGCTGTCAAGGTTATGCAAAACAAAAATAATTATATAGAGCAAATTTTAAACAGTTTCACTTATTAACGAAGTTATCCCCCCCCCCTTTTTTTTATAAGGTCTGCTAATTTTTGATGATTTCAAACAACATTTTTTTTAAGCATGTAATGAATTGTTTACATGCAATCGTAAATTTTTAGAATGCAAAACTTGAAATGTTAGGTTGTGCATTGTATAGAATGTGTTATACTGATTGTACTATTAACCTTATTTGCTACACATGGCAAGTCTGAAACAGTTCAAAATCAATGGTTAAAAATAATTTTTTAAATGCAAATATTTTAAACCACAAAAATTTGAATCTAGTTATCTAAAGCGTCAGAAATAAAAAATGAGATGTATTAAATGTATCGACTTTGATTTGCTTTTGGAGATAGTAAAGTTAATGACGGAAAATTTTGTTATATAGACGCAAATGCGAGTTAGTCGCGACAAAAAGTCTTCAATGAAGTCAAATTTCTCCCAATATTTAATCTAGGAGTTCCCTTGTCTTCTGGATTGGGTTCAAAATTACAAGGCTACGTAGTTGAACATTAGTAGTTGTAAAGCTAAGAAATGGGTCGACTATTTAACGACGGTTATTAATATATGTATATAGATCTACTGAGCCGTGCTGGCTCAGGGAATGGTATGTCCGGTTTGAATCCCAGCCGTGGCTGGGCAGTACGAATTTCACATCCACAGTGCTGACGTAAAATAACCTCCATAGTTGACGCATCATGGGTAAGAATCTGTTTGCCATCAGGCTAACTGTAGGAGGTTTTTATGGTTTTCCTCTCCATGAGACGCAAATGCAGGTTAGTTCCATCAAAGGGTCTTCCATGAAACCAAATTTTTCCCAATACTTGATCCAGGACTTTCCTTGTCTTCTGAATTGGGTTCAAAATTACAAGGCAACAGAGTTGAACATTAGTAGTCATATACCCAAAAAATTGGGTCTGCTGTTAAATGACGGTTATAATATATAGATCTACTGTATTAGCATGAACAATATTATTGGTATTGTAAGTAGCACATTGCATATTTTAAATAAATTATTAAACAGTGAGTTTCTCTCTTTTTTTTTAACATGCATGAAGAAGCATGTTAAAAACTTTGAAGCACTTGAGAGAAAAATTATATTTATATATATACTATAACTAGCAAGCTAAATTATTTGTATACTATATTGCAAATCTAAAGCAAAAGAGCAGTCTGAATTAAGCACAAATATAAGTACAGAACTGAACATACTATAGTCTCTGTTTTATAAACAAAAAACTTCCTCAGTGTGTTACACCAAA